AACAAATCTGTGTTGGAAGAAGTACAGCCAGAATGCTCCTTAGAAGCCAGGATGGCATATTTCAGACATATTATCAGGTGGGACCAGTCTCTGGAAAAGTACATCATGCTTAATAAAGTGGAGGGTCAGAGAAAAGAGGAAATCCCCAATGAGATGGATTGGCACAGTGGCAGCAGCAATGGGCTCAAGTGTAGCAACAATTGTGAGGATGGCACAAGACCAGGCAGTGTTTCGTTATATTGTGAATAAAGTCACTATGAGCCAGAATCGAATTGGTGGCACCAAACAACAATAGCATAAGACTGGAACTTATCCTATTTTAAGCATCTTATTCTTGTAGCACTTTATTAATATTTTTAAAGCATGTGCCAGCTTCAATTGTAATTGATATGTTCATTTTGTAATTTGTCACTCATGCAATAAGCATTTGCTGAGCATAATTATTTGTCCTCATGATACTAGTTCCAAGTCCAGCTACTCTTGCTGCTCTCCTGGGTGTTCAGTAGGACAGAAGTGTCCTCAGGGAAGTCTCCTATCAATACTTTTCTAGTAAACTGTACTGTTGAGGGAATTATTCTGACCTTCTTCTCTCTGCTCAAACCGCCAGTCAAGTTTTGCTCAGTTGATGTGAGTCCGTTTTCTACATGTTTAAAGTAAACATAATCAAGAAGGCAAATTGATTGCGAGATGCTTTTAATATTGTACTTTAAAAAGGGGAAGATTGTTCTTGGGGAATATCTACTCTTTGAGGGAGGTAATTGCTCATTTGGATTATCCTGTTATATACTCATGAATGACCAAGAATCACTGTATTGACTAAACCAAACTCACTACCTTGTAGTTCAGACTGATTCCGTGACGCTACAGAATAGAACTACTTCATATGGTTTCTGAGACTGTAAATCTTTATAAAGGACTTCTAGCAAGGTGTCAGGTTAGGCAAACATACCACATGGACCCTCTACAACAAAGATACAAGAGACCAAATGAAACGAACATAGATGAAAATTCTGGTACCTTGACCTTCAGAAGAAATGTTAGAGAGGTGGATAGAGTGCTGGCTGGATGGAGAGGCCAGGCAGGGATGGCAAGAGAGGGAGACTGACTTTGATGAATAGTTGACCAGACATGGCTGCACCATCATGTGAGCAGCTTTGGCAGATGAGGGAGGCCTGCCAGAGCAGATTCACACAGTCCATGGAAAAGCTGTGATTTTTTTTTCCCTCGTGACCTGAAGTGCAGCCTGCTCCCAACCTCATTCAACCCCAGCGAAGGCCCTTCTCCCCAAGAGGTTGTAGCCACATGGTTGGGAGTCATACAAACGTGAGGTCAGGGCTAGCTGTACCACATTAGTGTGCTGCTTTGGTGCCTGGATTCAGGTGAGCTCGGCTCCATAGCTACAAAACCTTCAGAGCCACCAGATCAATGTTTAACCAGTCACACTGCCCCCAGCTTCCCTGCGGTCCTAACAGACACTAAAACCAGCTCCATTAAGGACCCCCCAAACTACTTCCGGATTGAGTGCCCTGAATTAGATAACACATAGGCACTCCACCTCGGGTCAGGCACTCTGCTGTTACATCCCTTCCACAACCATCTAGTAAGCTGTTTGAATTGCAGGAGCCCTCTTAGAGATTTTTCCCCTCTGGGTCACACAGCTGCACCATTTGTTTTTATAAATTCAAGAATCTCACAATACCCCAGAGACAACAGGTAATTTTAGCTCACACGAAGAAACAAGAGAGAATGGCTCAAACAAATGACCAATATGAAGAGCCAGAAGATGTTTCTAAGGAAGAAAAGGCAATAGAACTAACTGGAAAAGAATTCAAAGAATGATAATTAGATAACTTCAAAAAGGATTGATAGAAAGATCCAGGAAAACAAGAAGAACACAATAAAAATTTTAGAAGAATTCATGAAAACACTACAAGAACAAATAGAAACAAATAAATGCAAATTTAGAAACAACACAGTCTGCAATTAGAAATCCAGAAGATTAATACTAAGATCTCAGAAATGGACAATACATTGAAAGGGTAAAGGAGTAGATGCAAAGCAACTGAAGCTCAAACTAGTGAGTTTGAAGAGAAATCTCTCAATACTAGTTCGCTAGAAGAAAAATCAGAAAAAAGAATGAAAAAATTGTGAAGAAAACCTAAGAGTTATGAGGGGTACTATGAAGAAGAACAACTAACTTATGAGTGATAGGAATTACAGAAGAGGAAGAGACAAGCATAGAGAAAATTGTTGAAGAGTTGTTGGAAGAAAACTTCCCTAACATAATGAAAGATGGGAAGACAAGCATACAAGAAGCGGAACGAACGCCAAACAGGATAGATTCCAAAAAACAAAACAAAAACCCACCAAGACATATAATAATCAAACTTTCTTGAAATCAAAGACAAGGAAAGAATCCTGACAGTAGCTCAGGAAAAACGAAAATTTAGCTACAGAGGGGAACCAATAAGACTAAGCTCTGATTACTCATCAGAATCCATGCAGGGAAAAAGGCAGTGGAATGACACATACAAAACTCTGAAAGAAAAAGATTGTCAACCAAGAATTAGATACCCAGCAAAGTTGCACCTCAAATATAAGGTCAAGATTAGGATATTTCCAGATAAATAGAAATTAAAGGAATTTGTAATGACCAGATCAACTTTACAAAAAATCTAATGGGTATTCTTTGAATGAGAAAAACAACAGCAGGCAAACAACACCATCCAGGAATCAATCCAGATATGTTGTTGGTGAGTGCCACTGAATCAGTTCCAACTCATAGGGTTTCTGAGGAGCAGTTGGTGGGTTTGAACTGATGACCTTGTGGGTTCCAGTCCAGTACTGATCCTACAGTGCCACACCAGGAGTCCAGATATAGAAGTATTTAAAGTAAAACAAACCTACAAGACTGAAAATAGGGAACCAGAGATATCAGTGTACAATGAAGTCAACTACAAAGCAAAAAGAGGGAATAGTGTAGATACTGAACTTCCAAATGGCAATGAAGTCAAGTAGATTTCAAAATAAAATAGACTGCTTGAGGCAGGGGGAAAATTAATTACAGGGTAAGCTCAAAGAAAAATAATGTTGTTAAGTGCCCTCAAGTCAGTTCCGACCCACAGCGACCCTGTATAGGGTTTCTGAGGAGCAGCTGGTGAGCTTGAACCACCAACCTTGCAGTTCAAATGGCTTTGCAGTCTGGTGCATTAACCCACAGCACCACACCAGGACTCCACTTGCACAAAATAAAAAAAAAAAAAAAGGAAAACCAGAAAGATTAAACATTAAAACGACAGAAATAAAAATGACAAGAAAACTTACAAACAAAATGAACTTAGCATAGAAAATTATGTGGAACAAAGAATTCAGCAGGACCACACAAAAAAAAACACACAGAAAAATGACATTAATTCATATCTATTGATAATTACACTGAATGCAAATGGATTATATATACCAGTCAAGAAACATAAAGAGCAGAAAAGAAAATGGGGGCCTTCAATATGCTGAGAAATGTCAAAAAGATATAGACAACCTAAATCCCTATCAACAGAAGAAGGGTTAAACTACTTTGGTATATACATGCAACGGAATACTACAAACCCTTGAAGAATGATGAAGCTGTGAAACACAACATGGTTGAACCTGGAGGACATTATGCTGATTTAAATTAGTCAATCACAAAAGACAAACTTTCTATGAGGCCAATGTTGTAAAAAATTAAAAAAAAATATTAGTGGTGGAATCGGTTCTGAGTAATAGCAACCCTGTATAAGGTTTCTGAGGCTGTAAATTCTTACAGGGGCAGAAAGCCTCGTCTTTCTCCCCGGGGCTAGTGGGTGGGAATTATTCATGGGTTAGAGAGTAGACACATGTTCACCTGTGTGACAGGGCAGGCACTATACAAGGGAGGTTAGCAGAGGAAAGATGGAAAGATGAAGGTAGCAGGAGACACAGTGAGGAATGCAGTAGTTACAGTGAATAGAAGTAAATGTGGTTAACTATTGGCACAAAGAGGGAATTGTAATCATGTAGTGAAGCAAGGAAATCTGGTAGTGTAGTGGTTATGAATCAGGCTGTGAACCTCAAGGTCAGCAGTTCAAAACTACCAGCTGTTGCATAGGAGAAAGATGAGGCTTTATGCTCTTGTAGCCTCGGAAACCCTGTACAGGATCACTATGAATCACAACTAACTCCAGGGCACATAACCACCACCACCAATGAGGCAAAGTGCATAGTTTGTTGAATGTAAAACAGATCATCTGCTCTGTAAACCTTATTCTCAATAAAATGTTTAGAAAAACTTCCTTATGAAAGCAGACTGCCTCATCTTTTTCCTTCTGAGTAGCTGGTAGGTATGAATCTGCTCAATGCTTAACCCACTTGAACTACCAGGGTTTCTTCAGGCCCATACAGAAGACCCGATTTTACTGGATCAATAGTAGTCCTGGTGTGGTTCTATAGTCTAAGCACTGGACTGCTAAATCCAAGGCCAGTGGTTCAAACCCACTAGCTGCTCTTTGGAAACTATGTTTTTATGTGCCATGGAGTCAGTTCTGACTCATAGCTGAGGGTTTCCAAAGAGCGGCTACTGTTTTTGTTTGTTTTTTTAATCACTAACGGTTTACTGTGACGATCTCCAAGAACAGTGGGATTATATGGGTCTTTCTCATCATGATAGATTTCTTTATGTGGCTGCTGGTTTTGAACTGCCAACATTGTGGTTAGTAGTCCAGTGCTGGTCCTATAGCGCCACATCAGGACTGCTGGAAATCTTATACAAGGTTGCTATGAGTCAGCACTGTTGAGGGCACTTAACAACTGGCCAGGGGAAGGCCCAGTAGAGTGGCATAGTGGAAAGAGAACAGGATTTTGGAAACACCCAAATCTGACCTGAATTTTTAGTTCCCCCATTTGACCCTTTTTGAGCCTCAGCTTCCCCGTCTAGCAAAAGGAGTGACAGTTTTGATGGTAGCAAGTTATGAAATGTACGCATAATGTATATGCCGCACCTGGCACATATGAAACAAAAGATATTCACTGGTAGAGCAGAATTAGAATCGCAGGTGATTTTATTTTTAAACTAATTGGTCGTTGTCAAAAATTCACAAATAACAAGAATTTAAGTTTGTGACTTGCAGGTGGTCTATTTTGCATGAATTTTCAAAGGACTATTTATTGTTCAGATTAGTCTATCCCAATCTTAGTCACAACAGCTAATTTATTTTTACTTCCTACTCCCCACCCCCTTGTGTCCCCCCCTACCCCCCCGAGGATCTGTACGCATAAATATCGAAGATCCATGTTGTTCTACTTCTAAGCAAAATCAGGGCCGCGGGCGTCTCTTTAAGTGTGTCTTCAACTCCAGCAGAGGGATACTTAAAAAAAAGCTCAGGTGTTCTGAACAGCTAGGGGGCGGGACTTAATATAAATCGAAAGAAAAGGAATTAAAAACTCCACGTGTGCGAAAGGGGTGAGGCGGCCGACCGCTCCTCTGGCCGGCTGTAGTTGGGCGAGGCAGCAGGCTACGTAATAGGCGCGTGCTCACGGACTCAGATGGTCGCCGCCGCGTCTGCGTACTGGGAGCTGTTTGCCGCTGCGGCCGCCTGGAATTGTGGGGGTTGTGTCTGCCCCTCGGCTACCGCGCGGGAAGCCGAAGGTAGGGGCGGTGCGGGCCGCCCGGCCCTGGAGCTGGGCTGGGAGTTAGGGATCTGCTTGGGTCTCCTCCCGCCAGTGGTCTCGGCGCCTTTCTAGCAATGTTTCGGGGTCTCCACAACCCCATCTCTACGCAGTGTCTCCAGAGCGGGAGGTCCAAGTGGGCCCTGGGCTTTCTATCAGTGTTCACAGACCTGGCTCCTCAGCTCATGGGCCTTCATCCATCCCAATCCCATTCACAGTGCCTTTAGTAACCATTTTTCAGCGTCAGGAGATGAGATCGTGGGGGTTTGAGACTGGTTTCTGGTGCCGCCTCTATTATAGTTTCTTACCCTGTTCCCTTCTACTGGTATCAGTTTTAGCATCTGTCTAAAGAATTTGATTATTCTCCAAGACGCTTCCAGTTGGAGGCATTCTGGTTATCAACTCGAACCGGTCCCTCCTCAGCCTCAGCCATCATATGGAATCACTTCTACAACCCCCTGCCTTCTTCCCCCCCCCAATAAACAAGACACTTTTATAGTGAGGTTAAAGGCTTTGGTGTTTTAAATCACCAATGAAGTTTGTGCACAGCCATGTGCTCTACTCCCAGGGATTTCCATATGGTGGTTTGTTGTTAACTTTCTTAGAGTCGATTCAGACTCCTAGAGACCTTGTTAAGGTTTCCGAGGAGCAGCTGGTGGATTAGGCCATGTGGTTCTCAGTCCAGTGGTGATCCTACAGCACCACACGGGAAACTGCAGGTTCCCCAGGTGGTTTTGATTCAGATGATCTCGGAATCCACACTTTCCGAGTCTCTACGTAAGAGGCAGGAGAGAAAGACTTGGTTTATGAGTCGGTGGGATGGAACCACAGGTGGGAATGGTGAGGAATTAGGCAATACCCAACACATGAGAAGCCAGTGGGCTTTCTCTGACTCCTTTAAAATTTTTTAAAAAAAGTTGTTGACAACCTATATGTAAGATCAATTTTCTAACATTTTAAAATCACTACCTCCCTTTCAAGCCCAGTTGGCTTTCCTGCCTCAATAAAAACAACAAACCTCTTTGGGAAATAGTGAGTACTAGATTAACACAGAGTAGGTGGGCAAATCACACACCTCCCTATTTGCTAAGACAAGAAATTGATGTGTTTATAAACACTGTTTATTTTGACAGTGTGAATAATGTTTTGTTATGTGTGTGTCTTCTTAACTCTCACTCCACCCAAGCTTTTTTCTTTCTGATAATAGTATAGCTAAATATGGTATTTGGGACATGATATTAGGATTGATGTTTGTACAACATGGATCAGGATTTAGATCTGTGCTTCATTTAAGAATATGACCCTTGGATTGGTAAAATGCTGTTGCCACAACAAATTTATCTTAGCCTTTCTTTAGGGGTTTTAATCTAAAGTACATGAGTTGTTCTGATGAAATTGGCAATGGAGAAGACATACTGTCCCTATTTTACAGATGATGGGAATGGTAAATATATTAGGGATGTAGAATCAAAAGTTGCCTGGTACAGAATTTTGATCCCAGCTATCTCCTGAAGGCTGTCACTACTCTGCAGAGGCCAACTTTGAGCCCAGGTGTATGTCATTGGCAGGAAAAAGGTTAAAAGCTAAAGGGGTGGAGGTGGGGGAGAGAATATGTCAGAACTTTATCTTCCAAAGAATGCTCCTTTAGAGTGGTGTGTATCTGTGTGGGGGTTGAGGATTGAAGTTGGCATCAGGTAAGTAATATGGCCATCATCCAGAGCAGTTTTGAAAACCCACCTGTGAAGTTATCTTCACAGAGACTTAAAAAAAAAAAGTCTATGATTTTACTTACTTTTCAATTAGCTGAAATCTTTGAAGGATACAGTATCACACGTGTTTTGTGCCCAGTGTCCTTAGCAGGAGGTTGTTCTGGAATTAGGCATGAAATATACTACTGTTTCTATGGGCACAATTAACCTTTCCCCATATTACTCTGGTTTTGTTAAGTTTGCTATCAGGAGTCACTGTGTTGTTCTTTGTGTCGTACACATAAGTGCATCTCTTGCCTAAATAGAATTCAATTTCATCTCTGTAATATACCCTTCTACTTTTAAGAAGACTGTGTGCTCTCTCTGGTTCTGGAGCTTCCACTTACAGTCAGCAAAAGTGGCTCTTTACCACAGCTTTCCTTTAGAAGTCCTTTTCCCACCAGGCCTCCACAGGCTCCCCCAAATCTACTGCTGTAGAGTGGATTCTGACTCACAGTGACACCATAGGACAGAGTAGAACTGCTTTGTAGAGTTTCTGGGGCTTTAAATGTTTATGGGCTCAGACAGCCCTTATCTTTTCCCTTAGAGTGGCTGGTGGGTTTGAACTGCCAACCTTGAGATTAGCAGTCCTATGCTTAATCCGTGGTACCATCAGGGCTCATGGTGACATAAAAAATGGCCTTTACCCTCTAAATTTATTTATTTTGTTATTATCAAGAATATATACAGTTCAATAGTTTCCACATGTATAATTTAGTGATATTTATTATATTTTTTGAGTTGTACAACCATTCTCACCCTCCTTTTCTGAGCTGTTTTTTTCTCATTGCCTCCTAAAGCTCCTATCTACTATTTGAGTTGCTATTGTCAATTTAATCCCATATTGATAGTTTTTATAAGAACAAAATGCAGACCTTTTTTTAATAGTTAAGCTAAACTGTTGTTTGATTTAAAAATGACATAAGGGGAAAATTAGTTAAACACTTGTGGTGAAAATATATACAATAAAACAGCAACTTGTACTTGTATATTTCAGTAATGTCGAGTACACTCATCATGTTGTGTAACCATATTGCTATCCTCTAAATTCTTCCACCACCATTAACATAAACTCAGTGCTTCCGAAGCAAAAATTCCCTTTCCCTCCTTTCTAGTAACCACATTAATCTGTGGTTTCTTTGTTGTTGTTGTTGTTGTTAAATGCCATGGAGTTGGTTCCGACCTTGCATAGGGTTTCTGAGGAGCAGCTGGTAGGTTTGAATTGAACCACTGACCTTGCGGTTAGCAGCCCAGTGCTTATCCTATTGTTGTTGTTGTTAAGTGCCATCGAGTCGGTTCCGACCCATAGCGACCCTGTACGTGCTTATCCTATAGTGCCAGTGTTTATTCTATCTGCTTATTTTGTCTGAGATCATATGGCATTTGCCTTTTTGTAACAGACTTACTTCTTTCAACATAGTTTTCAAGGTTCCTTCATGCAGCATGCACCAAGATTTCATTTCTCTTTATGATTGAGTAATATTCCATTGTATGTATAGACCACATTTTATTTATCCATTCATCTGTTGGTGGACATTTGGTTGTTTTCACCTTTCGACTATTGTGAAAAATGCTTCAGTGAATATTGGTGTATAGATTTTTGTTTGTGGTTGTGCTTTCATTTCTTCTGCGCATTTACCTAGGATTGAAATGGGTAGATACATGGTAGCTCGAATTGTTTTCCACATTTTACTGTCTCCCTATCAATGGATGAGGGTTCTGTCTTGCCATACTTTGCCAACACCTGTTTTCTGTTTTTTGAAATGAGAATGAGGTGGTATCTCATTGTGGTTTTGATTTGTATCTCCCAAATGGTTAATGGGGAGTGTGGTGGCTCTGTAGCATAAGCACTGGACTTTGAATTACAAGATCAGCAATTCAAGCCCACCAGCCGCTCCACAGGAGAAAGATGACGCTTTCTGCTTACACAAAGATGTGTAGTCTCAGAATGATTCAACAGCACTTAATAAAAACAGTGACTAATGGGGGTCCTGGGGTGGCACTGTAGGATAAGCATTGGACTGCTAACTTCAAGGTCACTGGTTCAAATCCATCATTTGCTCCTTGGAAACCCTATACAGGCTCACTGTAAGCTAGAACTAACTCGAGGGCACTTAACAACAACAACAACAAATGGCTAATGAGGAAACTCTGGTGGTGCAGTGGGTTAAGTGTTGGGTTGCTAACCAAAAGGTTGGTAATTGCAATTCACCAGCCACTCTGCAGGAAAAAAAGATAAGGCAATCTGTTTCTGTAAAGATTTATAGCCTCAGAAACCTTATGGGGAACTTTTCTTCTGTTCTTCTATGAGTTAGAATTGACTTGAAAGCAGAGAGTTTGGGTTTTTTGGTTTAGTGGCTAATGAGGGAGCCCTTGTGGTACACTGGTAAAGTCCCCAGTTGCTATCTGAACTATCTGAACCTACCAGTCACTCAGCAGAAGAAAAATGTGATAGTCTGCTTCTGTAAAGATTTATAGCCTTGGAAACCCTATGGAGCAGTTTTACTCTATCCTGTAGGGTGGCTCGACAGCACTTAACAACAACATGGTGGCCATGAGTTGGAATCAACTTGATGGCAGTCAGTTTGGTTTTGGTTTGGAATGTCTAATGATGATTTCATGTGCTTGTTGACCATTTGAGTATCCTCTTGGATGAAATACCTGTTCCAAGTCCATTGTCCATTTTTTTAAATTGAGTTTTTGTCCTTTTGTTAATTTGTAGAAGTTTTTAATTAAAATTATAGGATAGTAGACCTTTATTGGATATATAGTTCTTACAGGGACTTTTTAAAAACTATGTAAGTCTCACTAATGCATGGTATCAACTGTATTTTTTTTTTTTAAACTCAAATGTCATGCATAAACAACCGTGTTACCTGAATTGTCTTTAGATGAGTTAGTAGTTCTTTTGAAGTGGATGTAATATACTTTTGGAGTCTGGTGAACATCAGTTTTGATTCTGAGTCTGTCACTCAGTAGCTATATTTGTAATTGTTGTTAAGTGCAGTCAAGTCAGTTGTGGCTCATCGCAACCCTGTATAGGTTTTCCAAGAAATTACAGGTGAGTTTGAACCACTGACTTTGGTTTGTAGTCCAGTGTTGATCCTACAATACCCCACCAGGAGTCCTAATAGCTATATGTTGCTGTTGTTGTTTAGTGCCTTTGAATCTGTTCTGACTCATAGCGACCCAGTATAGGGTTTCTGAGGAATGACTGGTGTATTTGAACTGC